ACACTAACTCTCCAGACCCCCGCCGGCCATGGCCACCACGTGCCACTTTCTGCCTCTGTAAATTTGACTGTTCCAGGAACTTCGTGTAATTGAAATCACTTGTTATCTGCTCTTCAGAGGCTGCCTCATTTCACTGGGCATGATGTCCACTGGCCTCTCGCGCGGCAGCTCCCTTGGCAAGGGCTGTCACACCCCCGACATCCGCAGAGGGACCCGGGGTGCTCCCACCTTTGGGCTGCTGGTGTAAGAGCATTTGTCCCTTCAGGACAGATTGGCGCAGTTTGCAGAGCTGTTGAACAGATTGAATTAGAGCAGGCGCACAGATGTGCTGTGCTGGGGCCAGCAGGAAGGAAAGCAGGCGGGTCACAGCTGAGGGCCGGGCAGCAGGCGGGGCCACACAGGCAGCACAACAGGAGGAGCCCCGGCCGTGTGAAGGGACAGGGACCTGCAGGTGCTGCTGCGGAGCTGTCCTCAGCGGAGGTGGCCACAGGACAGCGTAGGGGACAGCAGCATCTTGACAGCCACATCCTCACTGCTGGGTCTTTAGAGGACGCCTGTCGAGTCCTCCGCCCCTCTCTGGAGCTGGGTTCTCTGGCTTGACCAGAGATGTCATTTCTGCGACCCAGAAATGGCACCGTTTTGTCTGTCCTCAAACAGTGCTTGAGAAAACCAGGGTCCTCCTCGAGTGATTTCACATGCAGATGGCAGTCACAGGCACCCTGAGTCAGTTAGCTACATGCTGGAGCCCTCTCTGGCCAGGGCAGTACCCTAAGCCTCAGGATTTCATGGAGAAATTGGGTCCCCAAACTGCTCGCTCTCTGCACTCTGATGCCCAGGACTGCAAAAGCAGCGACTGGGGACACAAACCCTGGATTTTCTATGGGGCTGACCTGGCTCCTGCACTGTGTCTCCGGCTGTGGGGTGAAGGTAGCTCAGAGGTTGGAGGATGTGTCCGGAAGGCACAAGGCCTCAGTGCCACCCCAAGCACAGGGAGGGAGGGAGGAAGGGAGGGAGGGAAAAAAGGAAGATAGAAAACTGGGGAAGGGAAGGAGAGAAAGAAAGAGCAAGGAAGGTAGGAAGAAAGAAAGGCAGGCAGGCAGGCAGGCTGGACCACGGGTTATAACTGAGAGCTCAGTCCAAAGCTGGCCTGAACTCTGTCCAAGGTACCCGGTACGGAGCTAGCACTTGCCCAGGGGATGCGGAAGAGTCCACTAATACCAAGGCCCTGGTATTGATGGCCTGGATGGCCTGGAAGCCCCTGGGGGCAATTACTGCTGGGGTCCTGAGAAGGTCTCTTTTTGTGTCCTCCACTGCCAGCTCACCTGGTTCTCCCTTGGCTGTCACAGGTGGGGGACCTGAGGCTCCAAGAAGGCAAATGGCATGCACGGGGAAGGGCTTCCTCATCAGCCAGGTTTTGTTCTCTCCTGCTCTGTTACCACAGCTTCTGGAGGGAGCCTAAGCTGCCATCTTTGACCTATACACATATGGGTCCCAGGCAGAGTTGGGGACAGTGGCCTTCTCCCAGATCCAGATGGCCTTTGTCACTGGCAGAGTTGCAGCAGGAACAATTTCTCCAGCAGCCTCTCTGGGCAAGACGCATCCTATCCCTCCCAGCCTTATTTCCCATGAATAGGTCAGTTGGGACAGACTCCCGGCACCCTCCTGCATGTCCAAGTCAGCCACAGCCACAGGAGAGGTTCTCCTACTTGTAGAAAATCAGGCAAAACAGACCAGGAGGAAACTCTGGCAGGGGCCTGGCATGCATGCCTGGGGGCTTGTTTTGTGGCTGCCAAGCTGCCCAGGAGGCTGCCCAGTGTTCAGCCTGTCAGATGCAGCTGTCCTTGAGCCCTGGTAGTGCACTGAGTGTGAAGGGCCCCCACAGGAACCAGACACACAGCCTCAGGCAGGGCATCTCTCCAGGGGCCCTAACATCTTCTTCAGAGATGTTGGGGAGCAAATGGGCTCACAGGTGGGCAGCAGAAGACCTGCAGGCCTGGGGTCCTGGGTTCACATCCACTGGATGAAAAGCCAACCTGGCAGGCATAGATGCTGAGCCCAGGTTGCCCCCAGGGTGGGCTCCCTGTGCCCTCTGCATCTGCCCTCCCCTCCCCTGTCCCATCCTCCTGTGTGTCAGACGTGACCATGCAGAGCCTCACCATGTGCATGGAGCCCAGCACTTGCCTCCTCTCCCAGGGCCTCTGTTGGCCAAGCGTGGCCAGTCTCACTTCCTGCAGAAAGGAGGACTGAGAGTACGCCTCGTCTAAATGGCCAGTGCCCCCAAAACAGGTGGTCCTGGGCCTCTCTGAGCCTGCATCTTGCTGGACTTCACAGTCAGTTAGAGAGAGGGCCAGGCTCTGGGGCCTGTGGCCTCCTCACCATCCTCCCCTCCTTCCTTTGCTCAGCCACCTCACCTGGTCCCATTCTGATCGGGGAGTTGGGGGCACGGAGCTACATGGGGGGCAGAATCCACGTCCCGGTGAGTGTCCTTCTATCAAGCACAGCAGAAAGGGATGTGATGGAGTGGCTGAGGACTGGGCGTCTTTGCCAAACTGGGGAGCAGTCTAGGGTAGGCATGGGGGAAGGAGGGTACAGTGGGGTAACTCCAAGCTGGCACCTGGCTCAGATGTCTGGGGACTGGTGGTGCCTGTACTTAGGTGCGGACAGTAACTGGGCGATGGGTTTGGCTTTGGGCCTGCTGCCCATGTAGGAATCTAGAGTTCACCTGGTAGACCAGTTGTCCAATGGTGATAGTCACAAAAGCCTCCAGGGTCTGGCTAGGAATGGCCCCAAGAGAGCTCATGAGCAGCCTCATCCTCTTTCTCTACATGCCCTGTGTATGCTCCTCATAGGTCCTGAGTCCTGTGACTCCCCAATTCTAGGCCTGCTGGGAGCTCACCCAAGGCCCTGGGAGGTAAGGACCCCACCCTGCCCGGGCAGCAGCCAGCCCTGGGTGCGTCCCTCTCTCCTAGGCCTGTTGCCACACCAGCTCACCCAGGAAAAGCACTTGCACCTAGCAATGCCACCGAGAAACCACTATCCTGACACAGCCGCAGGCCCATGCAGAGCCTGAGAATCCCACACTCACGGGCCCTTTCCTGCTATGCCCCGGCAACGTTCTTTAATGAGCCCCAAAATTTTGTTGGCGAATGATGAGTCTTCTTCCCACAAGCACTGGAGCCTCATGGGCCCCTGCTCCCACTCCCTTGTTTGCCCTGGAAGCAGATGGGTCAAAGGAGAGAACAGCACCTGAAGGTGCTGACCAGCCCCGAGACACAGGGCTCAGTTATCCTGCATGACGGGGCCACCAGGTTTCAGGCATAAGCAGCCTCACTCAGGGCGCCAAAGAGGATACCTGCCCACTGAAGGCCTGAGGTATTAGTGAGACCCCAGGTGCTGAAGTCAGGGGCAGCTGGCCATGTGCTGGGTGCAGCTGTCTCGAATCTTGGCCTAGAACAAGAGGGGCTTCTGAAACCAAGTCCCATGCAGATGTGAAAAGCTGCTTGTTACAGGGATGCAAAACCCTGGCCCTGTTGGACCACCACAACTCCCGGTGACTCTGGTACAAACCCCAAACTCAAGATCCATTTCAGGGGCCATGTCACTGGCGTGGGTTCCACCTCCAAGCTCATGGCTGCAAGGTGTAACATGCTCTAAACTTCAAGTTTTGCTCAAGAATCCTGAACTCAAGCCCTCAGCCCAACAGACTGGCAGGAAACTCCATCTCAACTCCAACATGGGCCCGCAGAAGTTTTAGGGCCCTACGCAGCACCTAGGGACCACAGCCCACTTGGATCAGTCTCTCCTCTCATCGTCCCCCAGAGCCCACCCCTCTCCCCCGCCAGGCTCCCCTCATGACAGCCAGACAGCGCCTCTGACCCAGAGCTGTGCCTGATTCTCGGCCCTGGGCCAACCCCACGCCAGAGATGAGCAGAGGCCCGGCACCCACCACAAGCAAAGGGCTAGAATGGGAAATGCTGTCCAGGAGCCATCCCGCCTGAGCCCTGACAATGGGCAGCCTCTGATTCTCCCCGGGGTCATGCTAGGGACTCTTGGAGGGGCTGGAGGCCGACTTTGCAGGAAAGCGCATTGTCTTGTACCATCACACTCAACCCCTATGGCCTCCAGACTTGCCTGGAGCCAGGCACACACTGGGCAGGCAAGACAGCCAGCAGTGTGAAGTGCTACTGTAGCAGCCACCCTCAAGTTCACTTCTGCTCGTCTTTGCCTCCAAGAAATAGGAGGTCAAGGCTGGTTAGACGATGAGGTGGAGAGGGAGGCAGCACGAAGGACACAGCGTTTGCAGGGGACCCTGTGAGGACAGACAGCGCTGCCAGACCATGACCGGGATGCAGAGGGTGGCCAGAATTCTGTGCCCTGGAGCCGCCCTCTCTTGCATCAGGGTCACTTGGGCCTTGGGGACAGTGTAGATGGAGGGCAAAAGCCCTGCACACGGCAGAGGCGAGGGTGAAAGCTTTGCTGCCTAAGCAGGGATGCACAGCGTGCAGGTGAGCTGCGGCAGGTCCCCACGAGAGAAAGGCGGAGCGGCCTATAGCTCTGCATTTGAGCTGCCTCAGCACCTCAGTCGGTCCATGCAGGTCTCTGTCCACCGGCTCTGTCATTTCACTTTCTGAATCCTAGCGGCGGGCCTTTATCAGCGCTTTTATGAGAGAACTCCCTGGGACACCACCCCAGCCTTATTTTTTCTGCTAAACCTTAAACTCTCTTGCCTGAAGAGCAACCCAGGGTGACCGGGAGGACTTGAAAATGAATAAGGGAACAGAGGACAGGATGATCACGGGGTGGGAGAGCGGGGGACCAGGAAGGCGGTCAGGGAAGGCGCCGGAAGTGAGGGGCTGCCCGCCCGCTCTGTCCCCGCAGGCCCAGGCCGAAGTGTGGCGGAGGGCGGGGCAGTCCTCCGGGAGGTGTGTGAGCAGCAGGCAGGCTGCCCCCAGTGCACCCCGGCTTCTTTCTCACGCAGCTGTCTTTGTCTTCCCGTCTAGGTCCCCCTGGAAGGCGTGGCAAGCCCGGAAGAAGAGGCGACCCTGGTGAGTCCTGGATTTTCTTCGTTCCTGAGTCTAGGCCTGGAGGTTGCCCCAGAACCCTGCGGCTGTTTCCGTCACACCCAGGGCCTTAAGCAGGTCTCCATGCCCCAAGGCCAGCCACAGTCCCCGGAAGACACTGCCCCACAACTGCCCTTTCTCAGCCTCCTGACTTGTGCAGTTGTAGGAGTGGCCCCCTCGGTGCCCAGCCACCTCTGAAATAGCCGTCCAGGCCGGGTCCCTCCTACCATGCCTCCTCGGGGGCTCGATCCTGGTCCCCACGGTGGTCCCCTGAGCACGTGCGCAGCTCAGGGTCTGCACAGCCCTCACCTTTGTCCCCGGACAGAGCTGTGAGGATGAAGCTCCTCGCCTCCTTTCCACCCTTCCTGCAGAAACCTTCCGACGCCTCAGTTCGTCTAAGTGACTCATGTGCAGAGTCCCCCGGGCCACCAGGCTCAACACCTGATCCCTAAATGGCACAAGCAAGTGGTGGCACATGCATGCAATTCCGGCCCCCCTTGAGGCTGAGGCAGAAAGATCCCAAATGTGAAGCAGCCTGGGCAGTTTAGCAAGACTATTTATCTCAAAGTAAAATAAGAAAGGGCCCGGGATGTAATTCAGCACTCCCCAAGTTCCATGCTCAGTGCAAAAAATGCCAAAGCCCCGTCCCCACCACCTTCCTTCACCAGGCCCCTCTGACATCATCACAGCCAAAGTGACAGATGACCTCCTGGGTGTACCAGAAAACACCTTGCTGCCTTCATCTTTCTTTCCACCTTGTTCTTCCTTCCTTTTCTCTCTTTCTTTTATGTGCACGAAATATAGTTTACTTGCCTAGCAGTGGAACTCTCCCTGGCACACCCTTCCCTTGTGCTGGAGTTGGGGGAGAAGCCGACACCCTGCAGGTGGGGTTTAACGCCCCAGCTCCACAAGGGAGCAGAAAGGGGCGATCCCATTCTGGGTGACGTCTCTGCGAAACTCGTGCGTCAGAGGAGAGCCTCGCCACGGGGGACCGCGGGGCCCTGCTCTGAAGCATGGCAGGTTGATGGTGAATGCAAGGGGTGCGTTGCCCTGTGCCCCAAGCCGTCTTCTGAGCTGCGGGCCCGGTGGTCAGTTACAGATGATCAAGGCAGTGGGGGCAGCTGCCCTTTCCCGATAGCGCTGTATCTCTGTCCTCCCTCCCACTGGCCTCCCTGCTGGAATCAGGCCAGCTCCCCCTTCATGCCTGACCCCACCTCCTGCCCTGCCTGCCTCCTCAGTGAACCCACCGTGCCCCAGTGCCCTGCTCAGCACTGCCTGCCTCCCGCCTCCCTCCAGCAAGTGCTGTCCCCTCCTCTGGGGACAGAGGAGCTGATGCCTCCCTGCCCGCCCAGCCAGTCTCACCCGGACCCCTCCCCCATCACAGGGCCAACAACACCCTCGCATGATGTGCAGACTGCTGGTATCACCTGGGTCTCCACACCACCCCCACCGTGCTCATGAGCACCCCATCGTGTGTCCCCACACCCATCTGTCACCCAACTTTCGCCTCAGCCTCTCCTGCCCAGAACGTCCCCTCCTTTAGCTGGGCATACAATCCAAGCTTTCTTTGCCCTTGGCAGCACGCTGAGCACCTGCTCCTGGGAGCCTTCTCCCCGGGCTGCAGTGGCCCTCACAAACATGGACGAACGCCAGCACCTCGGTAACTCAAGGTGGCCCCCAAGGCGGCTGCTGCCGAGGTCTGGGAGATGGTGCTCGTTCCTGGCCCAGGAGGAGACTGTGCTCCTCACACAGGCCTCCAGGTTAACGCGTGGAGTCAACTGCAGGAAGCACCCTGGAGCTCCTCTTTCTCATCTTGACCTCCAGAAGCTGAGGCTGCTATGGTCCATGCCGCGCGCTTCCTCCCGCCTGAGCTCTCTGTGCAATCTCCCCGCCGGGTCTCCACCCTGCCAAATACACACTTCCTCCTTCAGTCCTCACTTTCCATCCTCATAAAAGATTTTATTGCCTTTTGTTATGAGCTCCATGACATCCTTTTTGGAAGGCGATCAGGAATATATAGTTACTTCTTTAAGGACAAGGCATAATAGGATTCGGTGTGCCTGAAACCCATTAGGAAGGGAGCGATAGATCTGAGCAGAGGCTGTGATTTTATTTTGGCAGTAGTGGGGATTGAACTCAGGACCTTGCACTTGCCAGGCAAGGGCTTATTCTACTGAGCTATCTCCCTGGCCTGAGGCTGCACTTTTATTTTTAAAATCTCAACTCACCAATCATCAGGAAAGCGCAACCTAAAACCACCACAAGCCGTCTCTGCATCCCAGCCAGAAGGGCCATTCTTTAAAAAACTAACAGTAACAAGTGTTGGCAAGGATAAGGGGGAAAGAGAGCCCTTGTGCCCGGTATAGCCATTACAGAAACCAGTTTGGAGGTGCCTCAAGGATTTTAAAGTAGAATTATGATCCAGCAGTCCCACCAACAGGTGTGTATCCAGAGGAAAGGCAATGAGACGTCAGAGAGGCTTTGGCACTCCTGTGCCTGCTGCAGCGCCATTCACAGCAGCCAGAAAGTGGGAACTAAGGATGGACAACTAAGGATGAAACATGCTGTGGAGTACTATTCAGCCATAAAAAAGAATGAAGTCCTGTCCTCTGCAGCAATATGGATAAAACTGGGGGTCGTTATGTTAAGCGAAATAAACCAGGCACAGAAAGGCGCTCCACCCTTGTGGCATCCAAGGAAGCTGACCTCACAGAAGCTGCATGTGGAGTGTGGGGACCAGATGCTGGAGGTGATAAGAAGGGCACTGGCAGGTTCCCGGGCGGGGACCAAGCCACAGGTGTGAGTGGGAGGTGGTCCCTGTGTGCGGCTGCTGGGCGGGGAGACTCCGGGAAGCAGTACTGTGCATCTCCGAGAGCTGCCGGGAAGGCTCACTGCGCTCTCACCATAAAGACTTGAGGGATGTGAGAGGAGGTACACACGGCTGGCCAGATTCACGCGCTGTACAGGTGCAGCGGTCCGCATCTGTGATCCCGCGCTCGGGAGGCTGAGACAGGAGGGCTGCTTCCAGTTCGAGACCAGCCTGGGCTACATAGTGAGCTCGAGGCCAGCTTGAGCTGCATAGCGAGACCTTGTCTCAAAAAGAAGAAGAAAGGGACATTGATGAGCAATCAGAAATTGACCGACTGATACACAGGGGATGTACGGATCCAGAAGAGCCAAAACACCTGGAAAAAGTGAAACAAAGTTAAAAGATAACACTTAAATTTTTAAAAAATTTTTGGTTCTTTGAGACAGCACCTCACAAAGTGACCCAGGCTGGCCTGGAGTGCTGGGATGGCAGGCACGCAGCGCCCCGCCCCGCTCCTTTCCAAGCTGTGTTTAGCCGTTGTTAGATGGGGCTTCGCTCTGTTGCCCAGACGGACCTCAAACTCCTCCGTAGCTGGGGCTGCAGGCAAGGCCGGCGCCTCCCAGTGTTGAGACGGTGAAAGCCGCAGCGATCGTGGCCGCGTGGCACGGGCACAGGCTGGACATGCAGATCAGTGGGACAGAATTAGACCCCGGAGGGCCGGCCACTTAGCTCAGCGGACCGAAACGCCTGCACGCAGGCTCAGCGGCCGGGAGTTTGATCCCCGGGCCTGCCAGGCCAGCCCGCCCCCAGGGTGCCCTGAGACAGTGAGGGAGACGGCGCGGTGGCACACACCCGTAACTCCAGCGCTCGCGGAGCCTGTAAACGGAGAATCACTGCGAGTCTAGTCGAGGGACTCTGAACACCCTGTAGACTCTTCCCTAAAATGCAGAAGAGAAACAAGAGTCAGCTCCCGGAAGTACATCTTTGCACTCTAGCAAGTCTTTTCCAACACAGATTCCTGCGTAACTCAGCAGTGCTTGGACAACTGAGTACGAAAGAGCAAAACCGCACATGCTCCTCACACGTGTACAAAGTTAACTCCAAACGCACTGCAGACCCAGCTGTGAAAGGTGAGGCTGCCAACCCCATACCACAAAACAAGAGGAAATCTGCATGGGCTCGAATAGGCAAAAATGGTTGATCTATGAAACCAAAAGCACAAGAGAAAGAACTGAGGCTAGGCGTAGTGTCACAGGCCTGTCGTACCAGCACTCTGGGAGGCTGGGGCGGGAGGACCACAGCACAAGTTCAAGCCCAGCCTGGGCAACTTAGAGACTTAGTGAGACCCCGCCCCAAAGAAATGGAGGAGTGGGAGTTCTGGGAATATCGCTCAGTGCAAACAGCCTGAGTCCAACCCCCAGCACCCCAAAATGAAACGAGGGCTGAACTTGACAAAACTGAAACTTCCTGAGGTTCAACCATGGATTTAAACTTTGAGAAAAGTCAAAAAACAGAGAAACACATTGATAGCGACTTATGTAACCAGAAGACAGAGAAAATAAATTAAGAAAAGTAGCCTCAGAGAGAGAAAACACCAGCATTCAGAGAATGGGGTTACCAGAAAAACAAAACAGCAGGAAAATTTTGTGGAAATCAGGATGAAAGCTCCCTAACTGGGCTGGGAAATGACACTGTCCCTTTCCACGACGCCAAGTGGACACTGAGTAGAATAAGAGAAAAGCACACGGAGCCAGCCGGGCCAAAGCAAGCGCTAGAAATCAAAGGCCAAGGACAAACCTGGGGGCAGTGACGGGAACCGCCTGCCCACCCGCACCAGGGCTGCGTGAGCCTGGCCAAGGTCCCATGGCTTCCCGGGAGCCGCGGGCAGCCACGCACCCGCTCTCACATCCAGCACATGCTGCCTCCCAGGAGCCAAGGCGGGGCGCACCTGCGTCAGATGGTGGCTCCCCGGGTCTGCGACTACACAAAGCTCCCGGTGCACTACCTTTACCGAGGGTGACCTGGGGTCAGGCTGACCCTCAGCCTCGGCCCCTCGATGGAGGACCATGAACCAAGCAGGCACACGCTCTGCCCATTGTGCTCACTACATACTGCATATTTATTGCCTCTCCACCTGCTTGGTGCCGTCAGTCTCGAGGTGACTGAAGGTAAATGGGGCTGGGCCTGGACCTCGGCAGAGACTGCACCACCCGACACGGGCGTGAGGACTGTGCGCTTCATCTCCGTGGCACCCTGGCGCCATCCTTGTCGGGCACCAGGGGCAGCCCTGCATCAGGGACACGACCTAGAGGGCTCCTTCCCACCCAGTGAGCACACACCCGCCGGCCCAGTGCCCAAGTCAGTCTCTGCCCAGCCGCGCTGTGGCGCTGGACTCCAACACACAGCTGTGCACGGACACCTGCCTCGGCCAGGGCCAGCCCTTCCGGCAGCAGGAGTGGGAGCGCCAGAACTCGCGTTCAGCATGAAACCAAACCGTGGAAAAGCAGCAGCGGCACACGCACGTGCAGAGTGGCCTTGGGAGCTCAGCACACTCGGAGCACTTTCTGCTAAGCCCACTTCCCTCTGCCCCCGTTGGGCTGCAGGTCGGCCTGCTGCGTCCTGCCTGGGTCAGAGACGTATGTGAGCTGGAGGAGGTTTCTGAGCCTGGGTTTCTGCTCCCATGAGATGCACCTCACGAGGTTGCAGATGGAGCTCAGGAAGCTGGCGGCAGAGCTTTCAAGGGACGGCGGGCACTCACAGTGAGTGACCTTACTCCTTGCGCACACAGGCATGCACACACACACACACTCACACTCACACTGGACTCCCAAAACAAGCCAGGCCTGGAGACAGCAACAACTGTGATGACCAGACAGAGATGAGGATTTTTTCTGGCCATGCTCAAGTTCGTGAGCTGATTTCCTGCCAGGCTTGGCCATATATATGCATCGGGGGAAGGACAGGAGTCCACAGTGGGAGTCAGGCTGCCTGCCCCTCCCGTCTTCCAGCGCTCGGCCCCTTGCTGAGAGATGGTCCTCGTAGCCACCTCTGCGTCCATACCTAGAGATACCCCGCTCTCTGCCCAGACCAAAGCCTAGAGGGTCTTAGTACAAAGCACCTCATATGATAGCACTCCACACCTTTTAAAAAACCTAACAGACCAGGGAGACATTATTGGGAACTGCGTCTTTCTATGGCTGCGTAATAGTCCATCACAGCTATACTTCGCTTATGTAGCACCTGTGCTAGCTCCAGTCTTTGCCATCTCGAGTGGTTCTTCAGTGAACATTCTGACATGCTTGGCCTATGCGTGTGCTAGCACATCTACAGGTAGATGGCTGGAGTAGCCACCACGGCCATGGAGTGTACATCTGAAATCTTCTGTCCAAAGGGCCGGGGCTGGAGCCCACGGCACGCATGTGCCAGGCCAGCACTCCCAAGCTGCACTGCATCGCTGTGGAGTAAGTGCTACAGAGGAGAGTATCCCGAGCCCCTCCCCGGGAAGGAGCTCCTCCAGCGAGGTGAGCTCCACCTCGTTGACCACAGGGCTGCCACCCAGTGAGGGCGCCATGCCTTAGAGCCTCTCCAGCTCTGCGCAGGATGGCGCCCGCCTGAGCCCCCTGGGCTCCAGCCGCCCACCCTCCATGCCTGCCAGGCCAGGCCCTGCTTCTTCCACTCATGCCCTGGTCTGTGCCCCCTGCTGTGCGGGAAGCTCCACGAGGACAGGGCCTTCATTATTCTCACAGGAGAACCCCTGGCCCAGAGCAGCACTGGGCAGACAGCGAGCGCTCTGGAGCCTCGGGAGCGCTGAGGTCAGTCAGGAAGCCCTGCTGCGGCCAGGCCATCACAGGGTTCGGGTGGTGGTATCAGAGGGAGATCAGGAAATGGAGTCTAGTGTGAGGAACCTGGGCTGTGCGTGTCGTGCGGCCACCTGGAGGCTGATACAGGAGGGTCACGTGAGCCCAGGAGTTCAAGACCCACCTGAGCAACATAACAAGACCCCATCTAAAGAAAGGGAGGAGAGGATAGATGATAGTTGTAAGGGTCGGTTAGGGAAGGAAAGCGTCAGTCGCCCGTGTCCTCCGGTTCCTTAACCAGATGGAGATCGACACCCTTCGGCGACCAGGAGCTAAGGGAGAGGAGCAGGCTGTGGGGAGAGGGTCCAGTACAGCTGTGCAGTCCGCTGGAGAAACCGAATCACTCAGAGGAGCTCCCAGCAGGCAGCTCATAAGGGAGTCCAGACGCCGAGTCCAGGTGCGGCTGCAGTACACACGGCTGTGCTGGAGGGAAGCGAGCTGGAGGGGACAGGAGAGGTGAGCAGGCAGAGAGCCCTGGGGATACTCCCCAAATCGGACACAGAGGGCACTGTGAGTGAGCATGGCCAGGACAGGAGACGAGGGCACTGTGGAAGCCCCGGGGAGAGCGCCCCAAGAGCGTTCGGGCAGGAGCACGGGTGCTTCCTGGAGGGCAGCGTGAGGAGGAGTTGCGGGGTTGTCGCAGGGCACAGGTCACTGGGCACCTTGGGGGAGCTGCTCAGGATGGGCCCCAGACCAGACTCGCGGCAGAGTGAAAGGAGCTCCAGAGAGCGAGGGGGTGGCCCCCGCTGGGGAACGTCTGGCCGGGTGGGAGCAGGCCCTGCCAGGCAGGACTGAAGGAAGAGTCCTAGGTAATTTCTCTTCACTGAGACTCCAAACCCAACACCAAAAGGGAAGGGAGGCGAAGTTTATTTTGGCTCATGATGTGCAGAAGTTTGGGTGGGCTCCAAGCCAGGCGGCATGGCAGAAGGGACTGCAGGGTGAAGCAGTCCATGGCAGGGCAGGCAGCAGCAAGAGATCGGGGGCTGGAGGGAGGCAGAGCGGGCCACACCCACCTCCAACCAGGGTTCCCCTCTTGGCATCGAAGTTCACCATGAACCCATCATCAGAGTAGTCTCCACGCTGCAGTCCAGCCACCTCGCCAAAGCCCGCCTAGAAGCACATGAGGGCTTGGGGGTATGTGGATGTAAGCCTAACGGAGGTGGAGCACCAAAGGTTGGGCATCCACTGAGGCCACAGAGTGGGCTTCAGCGCTGTTGGGAAGGACCTGCTGGAGGGGGCTGTGCCAGACAGGAGTACGGTGAGGAGGGCAGGGCTCCAGGGAGCGGAGAGGGCGGCTGGCCATACCGGGAAGTGGGCCAGTTCCTGCAGATTACCCTGAGGGTGTGGAGAAGAGGCCGGGGCAGGCGCAGGCACATGTGTGTGTCTGGCCTTGGAAAGGCAATGCCAGCCGGCGCGATGGTACACAGCTCTGACCCCAGTACTCTGGAGGCTGAGGCAGGAGAATCGAAGGCTCAAGCCCAACCTGGCATCTTAGTAACATAGTGAAACCCCATCTCAAATTTAAAACAAAAAAAATAAAAATAAAAAAAATAAGGGCTGATGATGTAGCTCTGCATGAGAGCTTCCACTTCCGACCTGAAGGTCTGTGGCTCAGTGTCTGATGGAGGGCTGGTGGGAAGGGGGCAGATCGGGTTTCCTGCTGTACCGTGGTAGGAGGCACATGGCACTGAAGGTGGGGAGACATCTTCTAGGGTGCCCTGCTCCCCATCCAGGCACAGCCATGCCTGGTGTCCACAGACAGCTCCTTCTGGGAGCCCCAGAGACCTGCGAAGATTGAGTCCCTTACATAAAATGCTATAAGATTTGTACACACCTCTGCTTGCTTGACAGCACTTCTAGATGACTTAGCTAAGTACCACCTGAGCAGCTGTTACCTTGTAGTGTGTAGGAACAGTGACGGGAGGGAAGTTGTAGGTGCTCAGTGCAGACAGGGCTTTTCTGAGCGTTTCTGGACTCCCAGCGACTGAGTCCACAGTTCAAGCCTGTGGCCTGGAGGGACAGACACACAGTCCTGCATGTCCCCCGTGTGTGCCCAGCTGTACTGGGCTTGTCCTCCTGGGCTTCTCTGGCACATCCAGTGCTCCTTACGCAGAGCATGAGCTCCCGAGTCTCTCCACCAAGAGCCCTCGGTCGCCACCAGCACTCAGCGTCGCGCATGCAAACCAGGATGCGTGGGCTCTGCCATCCCCTCAGAGGATAGAGTGTCTTCCTCTCTGCTGTGTGTCTGTGGGGCTGTCACAGCAAACAGCTGTGACCCTATGGCCACCTATGAGGGGTGGGAAGGGAGGGAGAGGCACCGGGAGCTGTGCTGGAGACAGTCCAGGGACGCTTCCTGTCCACCTCGCTGATGGTGGCTTCTCTGCTTGTGTCTTGCAGGTCCTCCAGTAAGTGTCCCGACGCCGCCGTGCTCCGCTCCTGACAGATAAGACACTTTTGTGGTTCTCTCTCTGTTGGTCTCTCATGAGAATTACCTTTGGTGAGGGAGGTGTATTATTTTAGAAAGAAGAGAAAGAGAGGAAGGGAGAAAGGAAAAGGAAGGAAAAAAGAGAAGAATTCACTTAAGCCAGGGGTGTGGCCAAGTGATCCCCAGCACAGCGAGGAAGGAAGGAAAGAAAATACCCGAGCTCGCCTGCGCCAGCCAGAGGTCGGAGGTCGGAGGCCCCAGTCCTGTCCTATTGGAGGTGAACGCAAGCACAGAGCCCTCAGGTTTGGCTCCCGAGTGAACGGGCACAGCCCGCAGCCTGAGTCTAGGAGAGCCGCCGGCTGGACCACGCCCCACCACATCTCTGGCTCAACTCAGTGCACAGAAATTCATACCCAAGCCCTTGTTTTTAAGTGGTGTGCAGCTGCTGATTCTAACCCCCAGGCTGTGGCAGAATGGGCTGGAGTTGGGCGGCAGCCCTGGGGGGAGAGTCAGGCTCACTCCCCTTCTGGGGCTTATTCTCTCTTTGCCAGAAGGGCTTAACCCCTGCAGTCAGCCCCGCTGACCTGTGCGAAGTATTGGAGATGGTAACAGAAGGAAAATAGCACTGCGCTTAAGAAGGGCACGAACATGGCCCGGCGTGGTGGTGGTGCGCCCGCAGCTGCAGCTACTTAGGAGCTGAGGCAGGAAGAGCACAAGTTCCAGGCCTGCCTGGGCTACTTAATGAGTTTCCATCTCAAAATAAAATTTTAAAGGACCAAAGATGTATCTCATGGTGGAGCACTTGCCCATTGTGCTCAAGCCCAGAATTTGATCCCCAGGACCGAGGTGGGTGAATAGGACAGGAGGCTGGAGGGGCCCGAGCACCGCTTAGTGGCCAGCAGGACTGGAACATGAGGGGACTGTCAGAGGATGAACCCTGCACTCTGGGGCCTGGGCGTGCCTGCCTTTGATCCTTCTTGGCGGTTTTTCAGAACCCGATAAATCCCAAAGAATCTGTTCAAGAAGCGCACTGACAGCTGGCTCGAGCCAAAATTAACCTTCCAGAGGATTCTTTCCCAGTGAGCCTGTTTGCTCTTGACTTCCACTTGCCATGATTTATTTTCCAATCAGCTGCAGAGTCTGGGCTGCCCATGTGTGCAGCGCCCCTTTCAGCCTCCGAAGGCCCAAGCCAACAGGACTGTCCTGGGCCTGGCCACAAGCAGCATCTCCTCCTATCATGGTTCCCACAGGTCCAGCAAACGCACCCCTGTGTGGGCTCACAGATGCACAAAGCGCAGAGAGCTGCTGAGTGACTTCCTAAAAATTTTTGGTTGCTGGGCCAATGAGATAGCTCAGTGGACTAAGTGCCTACCTGGCAAGCACAGGGACCGGGGTTTGATCCCTGGCACTATATGCTGCACCAGCCCCATGCTGGGTACACTAAGCTAGCCATCAATACCAGGCATGGTGGCACATGCCTGTCCCAGTGCTGAGGAGGCTGAAAACAGGAGGATCACTATGAGTCCAAGCTATATAGTGAGACCCTGAACCAAATACATTTATTTTTTTTTCTTTTTGGTTGTTAAATACTAAATGTATTAATTAAACAAATGAAAAATTCCCCAAGCTACAGCCAGCATGGAGCCTGAGGGGCAGGGAAAAGGACTGCTTGCCTAGGCCAGGCCCAGAGTCGCACCCACAGCCATCAGTACCCTCGGGACCACAGTATAGCCCCAGGGAGGCAGTGGTGCTGCTCAGCTCTGAGTACCCGGCTCAGGGGTGAACCTCGCATCCCCCGTGGTTCTGCCATATGGGGGGGGATCCACGTGTGTGCCCCCTGGCAGCCGCTCCACCAGGCCCCCTCAGGGAGCGGAAGCGCTGCCCCAACCCACGGGAGCGTGTCCTCCCCTCGGACGCCTCTGCCAGCCAGGCAGAGCGGCTGGGAATGCAGCTGACCCAGATCTAAGTGCTGCCACATGGTTTTCTGCCGAAAGTCTGATTATTAATGACGTATTAATTACCACAGGGGCAATCAGGACGAGATGGCTACCCGGTAATTTGTCATTTGTTTTTGCTCTCTCTGCCCTTTCCTCTTCAGCTGTTCTCTTCCTGACCCTCACTGAGCTGCCT